TCATGAATAATGTTTAAAGACTAGACATCTCAGATCCGGTTTACATAGTTCTCAAGATTTCCTTTGAGAAAAGGATGTTTTTTTCCCCAACTTAAATCTGAGTTGAGTCTGCAAAAGAATTCGGTAGTCCTCCATCTTTGTGCTTTAATTCTCCATTTCTTCAAAAAAAAGTTTTTAAATGGAGGTACTGGGGACTGAACTGAGGGCCTCATGCATGCTAAGCACGTGCTCTCCCAACTGAGGTGTAATCTCCCCCCTAATCTTTCTTAACTTTACTTTCTTAGTATTCAGAGGTTAGAGGCCTCTTACTTTTTCTGGAGACTTGTCCATGAACCTGGAAGTCTATAATTAATCGACAAAACTTGGTTTATTAAAACAGTCAATAGAACATTCTGCAGTCCATGCAAAGGAAATGCTCATTGACTTAAAATATTTCTCCTTTATGGTGATTTGTACTTTTTGGTCTAGCTTAATTTATTAACAGCCATCCTCATCATCATAATGACTAAGTTTGCTCTGAGTGAGTGGGAAGCTACCAAAGGCTAAAATGCTTTCCTTATGTTTTACTTCATAGCAGGGGTTCGAGGGTAGGTGTCAGTGTCTACTTTCTTGCAGCTGAGGGATTGAGAGATGGGGCAGCTTGTCCCAAATCACATGCAGCTGGTGGTGGCAGGCTCAGGGCTGGAGCCCAGGCTGCATAGGATGCATTCTCAATTGCTCCTCTAATCAGCTTCCCATTGAGTGGTTTCCCAAACTCCTGTGAGCCAATAAATGACTGATTTTAGTGATCTCAGCCTGATGAGGCCTTCAGAGGAGACACCAGTGAGAATGTGAGACAGAGTGGCATAAATTAAAATTGTATATTTTCACAAATGTTTTATTCTCAGCTAATGACTTAAAAATTAGTATTTTTTATTCTAGTGTTCTGTAAGCACTAAAAACAAAATACTAAAAATGATTATAATACAAAACAAGTGGGCTTTGAAAGTCCAGCCACTGCTAATGACTCATTGCTTGTTTTTCTCTAGTGGTACTTACTGAGAGAAAAGTTTACAAAGACTGAATTGATTTTATGTAGTCTTAGTATGGAAGAAAAGGTTGTCAGTGAATATTGAAAGTAAAATCTTTACTCTTCTTTAATGATGATGATATGTAAGTTGTTCTTCATGGCTTAAGTGCATTTTCTCATTTGTGAAATCTGAGTAATGCCGTTTACCGTCCGACTGTGAGAGTTAGATGCCTTGTATACAAAGCACCCAAGAGGTGCTCAATAAAAATGTGCTGTCACAGTGACAGTTTAGAAGGATCAACTCTGAATACTAAAGAGGGTGGCTTATTTCTGGTGCATATTCAATATGTATATATATGAATATATGAATATATGAATATGACTTAAAGTAACAAGGATTCAGTTTTTTTAAGTGCAGTATGAAGTTTTGATGAAATCAGTGTCATTCTAGTAACATAGGGACTAGTTAAATTGCCTTAAGCAGACGACCTTGAAGATTATTTACACAGAATGTGTATTTTGACAATGTGTGTTTTGCCATGTAACTATTCTAGATTAAATTCATAGGAATCTGACCAGAACCATTAAGTTTAGAAAAATCAACATTGATTCTTTTCAGGGAATAAGCTTATCTCTTTTGTGATTGAAGAAAATTTTGATTTTTTTCTGCATTCTTAATATGTTTTAAAATATCAAAACATTGATTTGATATGTCACTTTTTAAATAGAATAAAGCTCATGCTGTTCTAATATGTAAATAAATGTTTTTGCATTTCAACAAAATTGTATGATTTCCTGACTCTTTGGGAAGTATTTTGGAAGACACTTAGATTACCTACTGTTGGAAAAATGCAGAAGTGACTTCTATGAATATAGGCCTAGTACAGATCTGTTGGTTTTTGACAGAGTGCAAGACATGAGGACTAGGAGAGCTTTGCTGCTGATTGCCAGGACAGATCCCGGGTCTCAGTCTCCCCTCCTATAAAGTGAAGAGGCTGGACTGGATTCTTTCCTCTTCTAAGATGAGTTTCCAGGAGCCTTTGTCTTTTGTTTATATTCAGGAGTATTAACAATTTCAAATTAAATACTGAATACCACTCTCTTCCCCGAAGCAGAATTCAGTATGTGATAGATAAGCTTTCAGTTATCTGATTCTTGTTTCTTTCTTTTTAAAATTTTATTGAATTACAGTTACTTTACAATGTTGTGTGAATATCCAGTGTAGAGCAAAATTTTTTAGTTATACATGAACATACATAGATTCATTGTTGCATTCTTTTTCACCATGAGCTACCAGAAGATCTTGTATCTATTTCCCTGTGCTATACAGTATAATCTTGTTTATCTATTCCATATATACCTGTCAGTATCTACAAATTTCGAACTCCCCATCTGTCCCTTTCCACCTGCTGTCCCCCCTGGCAACCACAGGTTTGTATTCTATGTCTGTGTGTTTCTGTTTGTATTTATGTTCATTTGTCCTTCTCTTTTTTAAATGCCACATATGAGTGATCTCATGGTATTTTTCTTTCTCTTTCTGGGTTACTCCACTTAGAATGACATTCTCCAGGAGCATCCATGTTGCTGCAAATGGCGTTATGTTGTCGGTTTTTATGGCTGAGTAGTATTCCATTGTATAAATATACCACTTCTTTATCCAGTCACCTGTTGATGGACATTTAGGCTGTTCCCATGTCTTGGCTATTGTAAATAATGCTGCTATGAACATTGGGGTGCAGGTGTCATCCTGAAGTAGGGTTCCTTCTGGACATAAGCCCAAGAGCAGGATTCTACAGGCAGTCTTAGTGTTGCATGTTTCCTGGCAACCTGGAAAGCCTTTTTAGCCATAGGTGGTGCCGTTGCACCTTCTTACAGTCTTAATGTTCCTGTTTGTAAAAGAAGGCTTAGACGACGTTATATTTTGATTCCTTTGTTTAATGCTTCAGGATAGCACGATGTCCGTTATGTCTGTCTACCTGGAAAAATTATTCTGCTTATATCTTAGTTTTTTATTCTATCATCTTGCTGTGAACATTTCAGACTTGCTGTGCAAACCATGGCAAAATTGGACTTTTCTTCCAGTGTTAGAAACCAGTGAGGCAGAATTTTATAAAACGGCTAGAAGCGGCCTCTGGAGCGCCTTAAAGCTGAAAAGTGTACTGAGTTCCCTGAGTATTGACCCCGCCGCTGTGTGTTAATTGGTGGTAGGAGATTTGGTACATATAGGAAGGGGTGCAGTTTTTTGACTTGGGTTTGCGTGCACGCGCTGCCACTGAGCCACGTGACCCTGAGTCAGTTCGTTCTGAGTTTTTCCCTCATCTGTGAGATGGGGACACTCATATCTGCTTTGTAGAATTGTGAGAATTAGAAATTATGTAGTGTTTAGCACAGTGGGTATCTCAAGAGGGCTCATAAACTTCAGCTCCTGTTTTGTGTGAAGCCATCATTTTATAATCTTTAGCAATTGCTAAGAAACAGGAAAATAAGAAAAGCTGGTTTTATGATGAAAGATATTTGAGGAGTTTCCATAGTTCCTATACCCATAATTTAGCATCAGCAGAGTCAGGACCGTTACACAGTCACCCTGAACCAACGTTAAGCCACAGAATGTTTTGTTAGTTCATATATGTTGGGGCTTAAGGGGATCCAATACTTATATACATGTTTTCTCCTGCAGCCAACAGAGAGATGACACAGAAGAGCAGGCATGTGATAAATGTCTCCTTTATTACTGATAGAGCCACGTTCTCCATGAAATTCAGGGATGTGGGAGAGTGGGTATCATGATACTGTGTCCCAGAAGTAGAGACTCACCTTGTCCTATGTAGCTCTGGGCCACAGTGAGCCTTCCCTTGAGAGGATCTGCCCCATCATGCACAGGGCTGTCCTGCCATGGAGCTGAGCATCCTGGCTGCTTCCCAAGGGTGGCCAACACTGGAGGGAAAGGAAGGGTTTCACATGCCCTGCTTGTCTCCCTGGACTCACACCTCACTCTGTTAGTGTGACGAGGGCTAGCTGTGGGCCAGGGGTCAGGGGTGTGAGGGGAGAAGCACTCTCCATGGCCCAGAGGAGTGGGAGGAGGCATCCCCTCCCGCAGTTTAAACAGGTGGTGGTAGGATGGAAGAGAAGGGTGCTCCCCAAGAGTTTATAAAAGGAGAAATAAGGATTTCCTTTGGGACTTAGACTAGCCAGGAAACACAAGATGATTAGAAGGGAGACTTGTAAGTCACTTTCATATTAAGTTAACATTTGTTGACCAAAAATGTGCTACATTCTTTTCTGAGCGTTTGTATTACAGAAACGAATCCTTCACTCTTCAGAACAAGTGAGTAAGGAAGGTTTGATTGTTATCCCAGGTTTACAGATGTAGGAATTGAGGCACAGAGGGTAAGTAAGTTGGCCAAGGTCACAGAGCTAGTAAGTGGCAGAGCTGGGATTTAAACCCTGGCTGTCTGGTTTTCAGGTTCCCAGAAATGGGCTTTGGGTGTTTAGAGGTATCTGTGTGCCTGGTGGATCTCTGTACCTCTGTGCATCAGTTAGCCCAGAAAGGACAGGGGAAGGAGCATTACACAGGTGCTCACAGTCGTGTCTCGGCCTCTGTCCACGAAGAGTGCACCATGATTAGCATTGTTTTCCAGGCAGCAGGTCTGTTCGTATAACAGAAATTTAGCCCATTGAGTTAATCAAGAAACCCTTCCTGCTCTGCTTCTGTCCACGCTTGCCATGTGACTGCCTGCCCGTGACTGGGCCGTTGAGAAAATGTACTGATGGTTGAACTCTGATATTTCAGTCTGGTTCATAGTTTCATGTCTCCTGTTACATTAATAAGTTAAACTTCTGGTTTTCTTGCATCAGTCTCTCATAAGTTTGGTTAATGTGAAACCAGTCCATGGGAGCCCAGGGGTGCTGATGGTATAATTTCTGAGCATGTTGTGGCACTTCTATCCGTGCACACCTGGCTGGAGGATGTACCCCTTCCTCACTGATTTCTCTCGACAGCAGCGTCCTCTCCCACCCCCGGATGTGAGGCTGGGAGCTCTCTGAGTAGGCCAGTCAGAGACCAAGTCCACCAATCAGAAAATGAAGTACCTAGAAGTGGGTTTAATAGAAGAAAAGGGCGTCCAGGTAGTCTGATGGGCTGTTCAAGTCCGTTTGGTGAAAAGCTGTCCGTTTGGTGAAAAGCTGTCCACTTTGTGGTTGAGCTGCTGCTTCGCTGTTGAGAAGACTGGATTAGATGAAGGGAGTTTAAAAGGCAGAAAGGGGTAATTTCAGGTGGTACATCCACACCGGTGAGAAGTGATGGATGACCCGCCTGTGTGAGGCATAGACAGAGTCTCACAAACTTCATCAAACAGCTTTAAAAACTCTGCCATCTGAGAGCACTTCATATGGGGTCCAGTTCATCACTGGTCGCGCTGAGAGGGCAAGTAACTGATGATGGCAGAAAGGACACGGAGGCATCAAAAAGGTCTCAGTCATGTTCCCTGTTTAAAGGATATGGCACAGTGTAATACATTTGAGGCAGTTTTTCACTGAAGTTTTGAGTGTTTTCTGGGAATTCTCAGTCCCCAGGGTTCCATGCAGCTGGGTGTCCCCTCAGTGCAGCTCTGTCAGTGCTTGCCCTGGGCTGACGCGGTGTCACGGGGAGCAGGACGGTCAGCGACCCTGGCTCCTCCGAGCTCCGTCTCCTCATCCGCAGAGCCGGGTTTCTCATCCGTGTCTACTTAGTAGGGTTGCTGAGAATCACACGTGATGGTGTCAGGTCTGATTTGTGGTTGTCCCTGTGTTTGGCATGTAGTCAGTATTTGATAGAAAACAATTGTTTTTTATTATAATCTTGGCTCCTAGATTGCAGTGGTTTTTAGTCTGCATTTATTTTTTATAATTATTTTTTATAAGCACTTATTTTTATTTATTTTTTTGGAGGTACTGGGGATTGAAGCCAGGACCTTGTGCATGCTAAGCAGCTGTTCTACCACTGAGCTATACCCTCTCCTTGTCTGCACTTAGAAGTGGACATTGCAATACACAAAATAGCTCTTAAGCACCATCATGGGACCTAGTCTTGTATAGACAATTGAACACGTATGCTACTTCAGTAAGAATAAATGTTGTTGGGACATATCATTCTGAATCTGTTAACGTGTTTAAAAATGATCGTAGCTAGTGATAAACACGAGTCTTGGGTCCAGTACTTCTTAGGGTCTGTTTGGCCATCATGGGAAATTACATTCTACAGAGAAGGCTAATTGGGTCTCTTGATTTTGGATGGTTCAGAAGATGATCAAGGCTTTTAAAAGCTCCTTGATAATAATGAAGTTGACTGTTTCATATTTTAAACTAACTACCAAGTTATCTTCCAAAAGTTGGAAGTCGTTAGCTTGTGAAGTGCCCAGTAATTCAGTGTGTCTGTGTGTCTATGTCTGTGAACGTGTGTGTGTGTGTGATTTCAGGAAGGTGGAAATAAGTTCCACGTAGCCTCCTGGTACCTTTCTCCTCCAGTTCAGGGTGTAGGCATATATTTACATGAATAAATTGATATTCTTTTGTCATTTAGCGTATTGGTGGGAATAAGAGGCTCTCATACTTGTTTCAGAAGTGTTGGCGAGCATGAGCTTAGAAAGTGGGAGGGGAAAGAGGCAGGGAGGCACTTCACACTTTGTGCAGGATGTGAGAAACAGTAGCTTTTCTTTTCTCTTTCCTTCTAAAGCAAACTGGCACTGAATTGTAACATACTATTTACTCAGAATTGCTTTTCTGATCAGATACAAGTGCCTCAGATTTTCAAGGCAACGTGAATGATGAAATGTGTTTTAGCAGTTATCTTCAAAAGTAGTTTTATTTTTCAAGTAAATGACTGGCCTGTTCTTTCTTCCAGCGGTACAAGAAGTTCTCATTGATCCAGGTACATGATCTATGTGTTTAGTTTCTTTGGGTTATTTTTTAAGTGCTTGTATCATTGTGGTTTGAATGAATGTTTAAAATTTCTGGATTTTGATGTTTAGAACATGCTGATTTATCAGAACTGTTAAAAACCTGATTGTTGTTTGGTCCTTGTTTGGTGGGGCACCCTATTGATTTATGTTGTCTGTTAAAGAGGGAAATTCTTCCTCTAGCCTGCGGATCATTAAGTGAATGGTTTGCAGTGT